CGTGATTGTAATGAAATGATATATGTGCCTAGTATCTTGTCCACTGGACTGTGATTCCCATGAGCAGGAGCACTGTCTGTCTCGCTCAGGAGTCCAGCACATGCCTGGCACATAACAAGTGCTCCGTGTTGAAATGCTGAACCAATGTGTGAAATGTTGAGGTTAAGATGGGTCACAGAAAGCAACTGGTGCCATCTGCCATGCAGATGGGGAAACTGACACCCAGAGAGACACATGGATTCACCCAAGCTCACATGCTAGGAGTGCAGGACTCAGGCAGGCATGAGAGACCCTGACTCCATGGGAGGCAGGAGCCTGGAAGCCACCTTCAGCCCTCAGACCCAAGCCCTGCCCCCCACAAAGAAACCACACAAGCTTATTTGCCTAGATCAACAACAACAGCAAGAAGACTCCGGAGGACATGAAAATGAAAAGCACACCACTCCCTCCTGACCCCACCCTTCTGCCCCCGACACCGTCCTGTGCAGGCAGCTTCCACCGTTAATGTGCGTGGACTTCTTGCCTATGAGACCCCAGAGAGTTTCCTGGTGACAGCATCACAGCCACACTGAGCATCAGTGAGCAAGCCACCGAGCCACTGATCAGACCCTGTAGGCCAGGGTGGTCAGTGTTCTGGTAGGAGGACATCATAGGCATGGCAAGGACAGAAGGAGTGGGTGCTCAGTGCTGTGGGGTGGGGAGAAGGTTGGGGAATACGTCAAAGATGATGTTTGGGCTGGGTATCCAAGGATGAATTCATGGTCCCCCAGGCAGGCGGAGGGCAACGGGGGAGCAGGAATAGCACGTGCAAAGGCACTGAGGTTTGCCTGAGCTCCAGAGGGTGAAACAGGCTGGGTGGTGGAGGCCTTCCTAGTTATGCTAGGGGGTAGCAGCCTTCTCCAGAGGGCAGTGGCAGCTCTGCAGGGGTTGCAGTTGAAAAGCAACTTGCTCTAATTTGTTGTCTTACATCACCATGGGAACAGGAGAGGGGCTGGACTGGGAGTGGGGGGAGGCCAGAGGCTGGAGGCAGGAGTTTCCCACGGAGGCCAAACTCTAAAGCCCAAAGTCTAGTACCCAGATGGGTAATTCACTAGGCTCAAGAAGGACCCAGTATCTGCTTTGTGCCACCAAAGTTACCCCCTTCTTCCTAACCATTGTCCTCACCCTCCTATTGGGTGCACCTTGCTATAGCTATATCTCACTTATCCAGAAGTCACTTAACCGGTAACACCAATTATCCAGAACCTAGCTGCTAGCCTGGAAGCAGACAGAAACGGCATGTGGACAGCCACAGGCATGCCCCAAAGCAATGCCCTACAGAGCAGGCACTTCACACCCAAGAGTACGTGCAGGCTGCCACTCAAGCTTAATCATCTCTGGTCAAGAGTAGACGCCAGTGTCTGGCTGGTTGTGGGTAAGTGGTGGAGCGTCAACTCAGGAACCAAGAGGTCACGGTTCGATTCCCAGTTAGGCACATGCTTGGGTTGCAGCCAATTGATGTTTCTATGTCTCTCTCCCTTCCATTCTCTCTCTAAAAAATCAATAAAAACATATTTTTAAAAAGAGTAGACGCCAGCCAGGGTCAGCCCAGCTCTGCCACTTTCTAGTCACGTGGCCAGGTTCCTCATGCATAAAATGGGGGCAGCAGTTGTGGCTGCCTCCGAGTGTGGCTGTGAGGAGTAAAGAACATGAAATACTGGGGAGGAAGGGCGGAAAGAAAAAGGCAGCAAATGTGTCCTGAGCAGACCCCAGGTACAAAAGAGAACGGCAGGTAGAACCGTGTGATATTTTCAAGATATTAAATCCCACACAATGTGCTACATTTATAAATGCAAGCAACACATTTTACAAAGATGTCCTTTAAAACTAGACATACTGAAAAGTTTTGGGGTGTTTAGAAGGCAGAGTTACTGGAAAATTAATGTACACAAATTTACTTATGGGAATGTCAATTCTGTGTGTACCTGGGTACATCTACAGCAGTGGTTCTCAACCTTCTGGCCCTTTAAATATAGTTCCTCAGGTTGCGACCCCAACCATAAAATTATTTTCGTTGCTACTTCATAACTGTCATGTTGCTACTGTTATGAATCGTAATGTAAATATCTGATATGCAGGATGGTCTTAGGCGACCCCTGTGAAAGGGTCGTTCGACCGCCAAAGGGGTCGCGACCCACAGGTTGAGAAACGCTGATCTAAAGTGTCCCTCAAATTTTGGAAAACATACGTCGTGTTCAACAGAATCTAAGACATCATCGACTGTATGTAAGGTGTACCATGATTTTGTGTGCCACTAAGAAAAGAACACGGCTATCTATTCTGATGGTGAGATGCTATAGATGCCAAGATGCATCTCGATGTCAGAGTTGTTAAAATGTGAAAGCATGCACATCTTCAAGTCAATGGGAATCCGAATATGCAATACGTTTGCTGTGAAAGTCTCTCTTGGGCAGAGAAGTCAGATATATTCTTCCCTTCACCCACCCATGTATGCCAGAGGCTCCAAGCCAAACGTAACACCTCTCCTTTGACCTTCTGGCGACCTCTCTACCTTGTCCCTCCAGAAGCTTCCTCTTTCAAGAAGCTGATCCAGGCTTTCAGCCCACCCATGGCTCAGACAAACAAGTCTTCAGGTTCCCAGGGGTCCCACAGAGCCCCCAGCTCAGGGTGAGCCTCTTTGAGCCAAGGCCGTGTGCACAGCCTGAGTGCTCACTGAACCCAAGCTGGGGCCTCCAGCACCAGGCTGCCCAGGCTAAAAAGCTACTGGCTCTCCTTCTCCCACTTCTCAGCCAGCAGGCCCAGGGCCAGTGACTCACCTGGGGCCGTGGAGCAGTCTCCAGAGCCAGCCTCCTCTGCCTTCACCGTGAAGCCCCCTCATCATTACCACTGCAGTAATCCCCAACACACTGTAGCCCAGGGCCACCGCTATTCTTGAAAGAAACAAGAGGGGTGCATGGGCGGGAGGACGAGGTGGCGGCTTACACTACAGCTTGCTGAGAGGACATTACTCACCCCCTGCCCAAGCTAGAGATAAGGGGGAAGGTTTTCTTAAAACCCTAATGAGGCCAGCACACAGCCCGGGCGCCCTCCTGCCCCACAGTCTTGGCTGGTTTTGCTTAAAAAAATCAAAGGAGGTTTTCCTGAAGCAGGAAGAGAGCTGGATCACCCCACCCCAGTGACTACGCTGAGGGAGAGGTGAGCCCTTGCCGCCCACTCTTGTTCTGGAAACGCCCAGGGAGAAGCTCCCCAGTGCAGCCTCTCTTATCACACCTTTCCCATTGGATGGTCCCACAGCCCCAGAAGTCGCTAGTGGAGCCCATTTTACGGACAGGGAAACAGGCTGGGAGAGGCTGGCAAGATGCTCAAGATCACACCGCAGGGCTTGGCTTGAACCCGGGTGTCCTTTCCACACAACAGGGAGTCCCCAGGCAGTGGCTCCAGCGTCATCACTTAAGGAGCTTGTTCAGATTGTAGAATAATACGATTCCAGACCCCACCCCCGGGGAGCTGTGCTGTAGGGCTAGGCCTGCACCAGGTGGTCCAGGTGGTCCAAGGCCAGGAGGAAGGAGAGCTGGATGGGCAGATACTGGGCCCAGGGGGAGAGGCGAGGGAGAAGGGCAATCCAGAAGGGGCCTTGGAGGCACCCTGGCCTACTTTGAGTCCTCATTTTGCCTAACCCACCCGTCCTCTCTGCATCACGAGATACCACATCCTGCTACTTTCATCTCATCTTCCTTTTCCCTCCCAACAATCTCCTTCCTCCTACTGACCTGAACTTCTTGCTTATTTACCCCAGGACTGGGATGGGCCAGCCAGCCCGACGCGCACGCGCAAACACACACACACACACACACACACACACACACACACACACACACACGTCAAGGGACAGGCAGGCAGGGTGTAAACACAAATCCTCTGACAGTGCCAGGCGTGCAATCCTCTAGAAGAGCAGCCCCTGCCTGGGCCCACGCTCGCTAGGGGCGGGCTGAGGCAAGCACTTGCAGGACCCCCAAGTCCGGATGGCAAAGGACCCCGGAGGCCAATGCTCCCCGGGAGGGCGCCCAGGCGGGGAGGTGCAGACCCGTGACCCCGTGACACAGGACGCACGCGGCCTGGGGAGGTGGCAGGAAGCTATGGCCACACTCGGACCGCAGGGAGGCAGCGGCCACCTAGGCAACGACAGAGGATCCCCGGAATGCCCCTCTGTCTCCAGGACTGTGGGGACCGCGGGTGTGCGGACCCCGGACCCCGAAAGTGGCTCCTGTCCCCAGACCCCTGAGAGAGCAGGATCTGTCCAGCTGCCGCCGCCGCCGC